TGTAAACAACCTAATAGATGAAAATCTGTCTCTTATACACATCTAGATGTGTATAAGAGACAGCATATATATATATATAGAACTGGAGGTCGCTGGAACAGAATGTTGCTACTCGGAGTTTCACGCTATATATATAGGAACAGCTGATGTTATGAACATATCAAACATGCATGCAAAAAAAAAAAAAAATCTTATTAGTTTAAATGAAATAATCATTCGATAGTATAATACATACTCCAAGTATCGAAATGCACGCCATCGTGTCGGGATTCAATATTTCGACATTAATTTTGCCATCATCAAGAGACTATAGGCCCCCTTGAATCAGCCACTGTAAATGATAGCCAGTGGCGAACAACAGCCAATACTAACTATAGACACTTATTGCCAAAGTTCCATGATGGGATTAGTGACGGTGCATTTTTAAACGTTTACTCAGACAAGCTCCTCGTAATTCCTGTGTAATAATAATTTGAACTAGACAAACACTTATAAGCTACGTCGTCATTATAGATCTACCATAATACCGGCGTGAATAGCTTGATTAAAATAAGAAAATTTAAAAAAAAGCCTAACAGTATGCCATAAAAGTCTTTGAAATTTAACTTAGGCTACCTTTCTTGTTTTAACCATTCTTCCAGTATCCTTGTACTATTGTTTTCCAGCGCGATCCGGCCTTTGCGATCGAAAATCTGTTGAATAAGAAATACCGTAAGAAAACAAACACACAGTATAACGGTAGTCCACTAAGTAATTGCGTGAACTACAATATTTAAAGGAACCAGAAATAAACGTGATTCTGCTAAAGAGTGAATTATATATCTATGCTTAGTGGTATGTTCATTTAGAATATTGTGGTTTAGACTGAAGGGTAAATGGAATTGCAATTCATTTTCTTATTTTTATAGGAATTAGCAATAATTCAATGGAGTGTAGGCCTACACAATGAATTGTACACCCAGAATTCGTGATTTACCTTCATGTCGTCCGGGCAAGGCCCATAGATGAATTCCCACGATAGTATAGAATACTTCAATAACAATAAACATTCTAATAACCATAACCCTATTATTATACAAATGAATTCGTTTACCACACCGATTTGATATCGTCAATGAATAGGCGAAATGAAAACAAAAAGTTCTTATCCACGACCTAGGTAGTATCAGCAAAAATGTTATACTTACTTGACATTGGACCTATAGGCCTATGTAGCAATAACCTCATTAAATGTGGCGTATTAATGTCGACATTATCGAACAGCCTTCGCCTAAATTATACAAATAATGTAGGTACTATATATACTTTTACACAGTAGCAAGGTGTTGTCTTAAATGGTAGAATGATTTTTGGCTACCCCGATACGCAAAGCCTCGCTTTTGAGAACAGTGTTGTGAAATCATGCGTTAAATGCAAAGTCAATAGCGACGAAGCAACGAACATAAAAGGAAGATTTGGGACAACTGAAGAATTATACCTCCCTGTTTGTAATTATCGAAATTTCGACCTCGTACACTGCGCCAGAGCTGGACACGAATTATAAGATCTGATAAGTTTGAAACAGCTGAGGCTCCAGAAATTTGCCAACAAGGGGTCCGAGCTGTCCAAACCAAGGGGACGATAAGACCCTCGGTCGAGGTCCTAGGGTGAAAAATCCCTGGTAGAGTTTACGGTAGTTTTTATGGCTTAATTAGATGGTCCAAATTGTACTTTTTAGATTACAGTATTAGGGATTGGCAATAAAAATAACGAAATTTGGATAAGCAAACATTACTTTTAAAATTTTGATCCGACGACATCGTCGTGGCGTCTGACGGTGGGGGGGGGGTCCAGGCCGTCTAGTGGGATTCTCCCCAACCTCCGCTGAGGCCACTACTGGTTTAAAGTAAGGTTCAAAACAAAAACGATCTCAATGAGTAGCCTTTTGAAGGTTGATTGATGTTGGAGGGCGTTGGGAACAGAGCATGATTCTCCTGTGAAAGGGGTTGGGGGTGGGGGGTGTGGAGGAAGCTAGCTGTTCGAGGAGACAGTTATCCTCCTTAGATGCATACAAAGCTAAGTTTGACAATTTTTTTAACATGGATAAAATAGAACCAATATCAATTTCTCCCATTGCCATGTGAATCGAACCATAAACCAGATGTAATTGAGTTTTATGGAAAGAATGACTATGAATGATCCAGCAACGTTCATTAATCCAATTGGTCTAGAACTTGACAAGATATTTAGGTTTATAATTATACAGTATACTGCTGTATTCATCCTTTATCATAGCCAAAAATGGCCACCCAGCGGGAATGTTTGTCTAATGACTGCTAAACAGTTTTTTTTTTCTTTTTCTGCTTCCCCACGCTTTCTATGTTGTGTTGGCAATTCACCTGAATAACTGAACAAGATAACAGATTGTTGACTTTGTAGTTCTTTCTAGTACAAGTCTAATCTAGGCATGGCATCATATTTACCTTTATAGCTTGATGTATCCCATCATTCCTCCAACTGGATTTACTCTCAATACTTACAAGCGAGCCGACAGGAAAGAGTCTACAGCCCCCTGGGGCAGTAGACATAAAAATGCATGAATCTAATAATTTGCTATGGTCATTATTAATGTCATGGCTAGTCCCCCACAAGTCTGTGCCCCCATCATGGTTGCATTGAATGTATGAACAAAATCAAGTATTTAACAATGACGATTACATTGTTTTCACTGATATTAATGCATTATCATTATAATCATTTATATTTTGTGACAGAATAAAATAAACAATTTGAATAGGAATGGAAATACGACCATGACATTTTTATTTTCAATTATGTCAAGCATACGTATAAACTAGTCCAATTGAGACATTAGATAAATATTACTACATAATGATCTGTGCATGTCCATGCTTATAGTGCTCCTATATATAATCAAAATTAATTATCAAATTCTTAAATTGAAATATGCAAATCATATCATTCACAATGATTGTTTTTCATGCTGTATTTCACATTATGTAACATTATATAATCAACATCCACTATTCAGTGTTTAATGTTTGATTTTCTGCAAAGTTTAATAAATTTAATAATTCGAACAAATTCTTTCACGTTATAGTTTTAAATACGGAATACATAATACATCCACAAATGAACGTTTGACCAATCACCAGCGGGCTACTGTAGCAGATTCATCCAAGCCAAATGCTGCCCTCTTTATGTTTCGTATTAGCTGCATGATTGGTCCATTTAAGATTGAATGATTTTGCATAATTATCATCACTCAAAAAGACCCACTGAATCAATAGACTGACAAACCAAAATAAAAATCTAAACAGAATATACATATTTTACATTGTACTGTACCATTAAATTGGCAAACTTAACATAAGAAAAAATATTTATTAGAAAAAAAGAAATTTAATTCTTCATTTGAATGTTCCATAGTATTTAATAATCTATACTAAACATGATTAATGGTTTTGACCCACTATAAATTCATAAATAAAATTGACGAATTTTTTTTCCAGATTGAGATATGAAATGTGTACCAGACACTATATAAGAATAAGACGTGATATGGATATTTCACTTTTATAAATCATAAAATAATAAAGGAATAACGATAATAATATCTCAAATGTACCTCCCTTATTCTTTTATCCATGGAATTACCTACTGTAATATTATCATAATTATTTTGTATTTATCACCCTAATCAAGGCTAATGAAGCCACTCAAGGTAAGGGGTTACTTATACTGTATATAAGAAACCAGTTCAGAAGAGATGAAAATAATAAATTATATTTATTATGTCTATAAAAACGACATATTTAAATATACAGTGCTTATCACTTGTGCCATCTTTTGTGAACAAAAAAACAAAACAAAAATATATAAATAATAGCAAATAATAATTAAAATAATAACATCTTATTTTAGCTGTCATTGCCTAATCACTGTGTATGAACAGTATCCTATTAACTTGTCATCAATTTTCTAGCTTCAGTTTCGCAAATTCTATAGCCATTTGTACAACCTGCTCTACGGCATCAATCTTGTCACCGACAGCTTGAGCGGAGGCATCCTTTCCGCCACCTTTCCCTCCCATTACGTCAGACACGTGTTTTACCCACTCGCTGGCTTTTAGGCCTTTGCTGACCACACTCTGAAGAGAAAAGAGTTTACAGTCTTTACTACTGTATATTGACAATAACATACCTGCTTAATTTGTTGGTTTTCGAAAAAAAAAAATGTATATAGCACCCTCTATGTAATACTCACGAAATAGAGCGCCCTCTATTTTAAAAATTGTAGTGGAACTGTTATGATATATCATCACATCACGTCTGTGTGAGTTAAACGTAGATGCAATGAGTCCCCATCATAAGACTCTGTCAGGGGTAGTTGTGTCGTAGAATATTAAATATATTTAATATGTTTTTCACGAAAAAAAAATTGTCAGATGATAAGTTGCATTGGGCTGCGTTGTACAAAGCTGTCTGAGTTGGCCGTTATATAACAACACATCATGTAAATTATTTATCGGACAGGCACAATTAAATATGTTTTCATAAGTATTTAACAAAAGGATAATAGTAAATAAACTGATATCTAAAAATGCATAAATGAAAAGTTCTCTACCTTTGGGACCTGGGCAAGGCATAGTATTTTGCTGTTCTCCTTGTCAACACTAACAAACATTGCTGGGGTATCCTTAGCCCCCTTCTGATATTCCTTAAGAGCGCCATCTAGAGCTTTGTTGTTAGCTTCGACGTCGAGCTGGACTACCAAGTAAGGTTTATCCTTTGAATCTTCTACTAACAGCTTAGCAGCTTCTTTACCCTGCACAGTATGAGAACATTTTCAAATTTTGAAATCACTATTAATGAGTAGGTCTGGGAAATTTAAATATCGGACAAAAAATATTGTACTGTCTTTCTATCTACAGGTATAATCATTTATACAGTGCTGTATCCAAGGGATTCATAGTGTCGAGTGTCAAATTCAATGTAAAAATTTAAGTGTCGGATCCCGTTCTGATATATGCACTAATAAAATAATTAATGTAAATCATAATCTTCTATTTTTTCAAGAATATGAATTGAGTCATTAAAATTTTAGTTCAAAATTTTGCCCTGGGCTAGTTCCAATAGGCTTTCAGAATACAAAAAGATTTAGTCTACTGTTAATACAGTATTAGTCTGCTTCTGAGAATAGGTAGCAGAATTCTTTTCGCATGAATAAGAAAAATTTTCCAATTATAATAAGACTTTTGTAAACCATACATTTAAAATTTGTCTATCTATTCTATGCTGTATGAGCATAAAAAAAAAACTTCCAACCTTTTGAATAAGAGCTGCCTTCCTTGCTTTATCAAGATCATCCAAAATCTTCTTCAGATCAGATAGTCTCTGCCTCATCTCATCCTTACTCCACTGGGAGATGGTAGCAACATTTAAATCCTTCACAAAAAAAAAAAAATTAAATTAAAGAATCAAAACCTTGAATCTTGACAAAGTTCTTCCAATTATAAGATGTGAAGACAAGCCAAACCAGTCGCTTCTCACAAATCGTGTTTCAGAGATAACTGCCGAAATATGTCGGAAATTGTTGTAAAAATTTTCAAAATCTATTTTATTGCACCAAACTAAACTTTATACACCTACATATCATGCTATGTTTTTATTTTAACTATTTTCAGTGTTAAAACAATATTTTTAACGATTTGATGATTGTCTCTGTCTGAGAGATGCCCAAAATCGTAAACTTAGAAGGCTTATTTCTCAAATACTATTCTTCAAACAGCTGTATATTTAAAGTTCTGTAACTTCATAATGAAATGTTGGATTTAAACGATTCTTTTACCATTTTATAATTTTAATATTACTGCTTAACCATGCATTTCACTAAAAATCAATTTTTTTGGCGATGACTGACTGGTTTGGCTTGTCTTTGCCACATATAGAACATGTTAATTAAAATATTAAAATAAAAAAATAAAATAAAAGATAAACTAACATTCACACTTACATTTCCAATATCAACAATTTGTTTGGTGAGCTCCTTCTTTGAGAAAGCACCTGTCTTTTCATTTTCCGAGATTGTTGTGGAAAGTTGTGAAATTTGCGAGTTGATGGCAGCAGCACGTTTAACAGCCTTTTCGCCATCTTCGCCAGTCACCGCCACGATTCTCCGAATACCCTTGGCGATAGCTTCTTCGCTGGAGATAACAAATTGACCAATATCTCCAGAATTCTTTACATGGCTGAAACATTAATGAAGAAATAACTTTACTTGCATAACAGCTGATTTATGAGAAAAAGCTTTTACTTTTATTGAAGTTGTTTTTTGTAAGAAAATACATTAAATATTGTTCTGATTTTCGCAAATTAATATTAGAGATTAACATACGTTCCACCACAGAACTCAACGGAGGTGAGAGTTCCAGCCGGATTGTCCGGATCCTCCACAAGGGTCTCGATGGGAATTCCAATTGAAAGAACACGTACGGGATCTGGATAAACCTGGATAACAAAATTAACATGAACGATTTAAATCTCTATGCCTTTCAACCTCATGGTTAAACAGAGTAATTAGAGTGGCAATGATAAATCTCTAGAGGGCAGCAGATACAAATGATTGGGCTTACCTCATCAAACACAGCTCTGAGGCCTTGAATGGCTTTTGCAAGAGCAAGTGGAACATTCTTATCATACACAGTCTCGCTCTTCTTTATAATTTCATTTGCAATTTCTTCAGCTTCTTTTATCTGAGCAGTTGTCATGGCGCCCTAGACATGTTAGAAAACAGAGAATGTTATTGATAATTATGGCCTAATGGTTTGGCGCAGTGGAAATGGTTAGGCATCTCAAGGTCGGGTTTCAATCCTTTGCTGTGTATTCTGCTTGTGTCCTTGAGCAAGACACTTTATCTACATTGCTTCATTCTGTCCAGCTGTATCAATGAATACCAGAAAATTGTTGGGAGTAACCAGCAGTGGACCAGCGTCCCACTCCAGGTGAGTATTACACTCTCATCTGCTTCACGTTACTTGAAACTATGAGCCATATGAGCCTATGAGCCCTGTGGCTCAGCAAGGATTTACTTTTATTCTTTAAGCAACGTAAGTAACAATTGCACTAGAGTAACAAGTTATCTTCAGTATTTTTATTCCTGGTTCATTGGATCCATAGATAATTATGTTTTCCTGATGATGACATAATTTATATCAAATGTTATGTTTCTCTTGTATTATCAATGTATTGTAAGTCACATTTATAACCTTTTTTTAATTGTTGATGATTTAGTTTGAAATGAAATGAAAAACACAATGAAATATTAAATAGCAACATAATGGCATGTATTTAAATACTTGGAATATGTATTATAGTTTCTTATGTTTTGCGTGGCACTGCAGCCCTAGTTACTGGGAGTATCTAGCTTAAAAATTTATTGGAGCCGTTGACATCTTGATTGCAAGCCTAAAGATATAACACTGTGTCAGCCACAAAATAAACCAACTAATTCGAGGCTACTTAGCAATCATCATACCTTAGCAGAGAAATCAAATCGTAGTCGATCAGGTGCAACAAGCGAACCTCTCTGATCTGCCTCACCAAGCACCTTCCTGAGGGCAAAGTTCACGACATGCGTAGCAGTATGGTTGCTCATGACTGGTCTTCGACGCAACTAAATAAAAATACATATTCATTGCTCTTTAGCTTTGTTAATGTTTTCACAGTATAGGCTGTAAGTACAAAAATAATATACTTTTGACCTAAAGAGACAAATATAAAATGTCTACTACAACCACACGTGTCGTCCCACAAAACACATGTGTTTGCATATGTTTTTACACGGTCAATTTGTGGGACCTTACCAACGACAATATCTAAGGGGCGGGGCTTAGTAGAAAGGACCACTTGTATAAAAAAACAACACTTAAACATAGAAACAGCTTACCTCATCAATTACAAGTTTGAATTCATCTCCGACCTTGATCCCTTCGCTGTCCACTGCAGACACTTTGCCAACATGAAGCACGTAACCACCTTTCACTTGGACATTTGTTACACGAAATTCAACATTCTGTAAAAAAAACACAATATGTATTTAGATGTAATGTATTGCAGTTAGATTTATATAGCGCTTTATACCGGTCTCAAGGCGCTCGAGGTGTGGACTGGCTCTTACAGTAACCTGCTTCTCCCTTAACTGGTCCGACATATCTGACGGAGGGGTCCGAACTAAGGGGCTGACTAGAGCCTCAGTCGTCAGCCAAGAATAAAAATCCTTCACAGGGAGAGTTTTTATGGCTTAGTATGGTTCAAAATGTGCTTTAGACCACAATATTAGGACTGCAATCAAAATAACGTTATTTGGATAGATAGGCAAATTATAACTTTTTTTTATTTTACAATGGGGGTGGGGAGTCCAGGCCTGTCCAACCACTGCACCTAAGGGTCTTTTCGTGTACGAGCTACCTGGTAAACAAATTATGTACAATAGGCCTACAATTTAAAGTACTTATCCAAGAACCAGCAAGCGTGCCATTTGAATATTATTCCTGTACATTGCAGTGCCCCTGCCTTAGCGTAAAACACTACATTATTCATTGAAACCCTCTGATTACTGTTCAGTTGTGGACTAACCTGAGGCCCAGCCAGTATGCTTCTATAAGGTTTCCCCCCAAAGTACTGCAAGTAAATCCTTATGCTTCCAAAGAATAGACAAAAAGTGAAAAATCACTTACAATGTTGCCTTCTTTCTCCATGAATCCTTCGTCATAGATCTGCCCTCCTTGCTCTGCGTAGAAACAGGTTTGGTCCAGGAGGATCCCACACTCATCACCATTCTCAACCTTCTCAACAAATTGCTTGTCTTTCCTAATTGCTATTACGGTTCCAACCGCAGACTCAAAATCTAGAAAAAGAATAAATTAATTAGGCATTTATGAAGATGAAAATGATAATAATAATCAATACTTTAGTAGTAGAGTCAGCAGCAATCTATACTGCATATGTAAAACGTATACTGCATGCCAAATGAGAGCGGTTGCATTTCAGTCTCTCAACCATAAGGTCAGAGGTTCAAACCTGCACTGTGAATTTTGCTTGTGTCACTTTACCTCTTTTTGACTCTCTCCACCTACGAGTATTTTACATGGGTACCAGGTAGGATGATGTGGCAGTGAAATGTATCAGTTTGTATCTAGGGAGTGGAGGAGGTTGCACTCCCGTTCAGTGACTTCCTTCCTAAGTGTCTCTTAGTGCCTTAGCTCCCCCCGAAAACTGGTACCAGCTAGTTTAGTCCGTCCCCCATCCCAACAATATTCCATAGCAGTGGCAGATTCAAGAGGGGGAGAGGAATTCAGCATGGGCCTCCTCTAAATTTGTCAAAATTATTTTTAAAAATGGGGGAAAAAATGTTCAAAATTTAAGTCCAAGTGTGCCATTTCCGGCCATAATCATACTTATTTTTACCTCAGCCTCAACCATGTGGGGCTGAGGTGAGAGGACCCTCCATCTGTGAACGTTTCTGGCTGGGCCCCCTCTATTTCAAATTCCTGGATCCGCAACTGCATAGTAAGTCATTTAAACATTGAATAATATTGTTCTAAACTTTTGTTACTGCCACACAGATTTTCAAATATTCAATAACTAAAAAGTGACACTTACTGTACACTCCATTATTGCTTGTGTAGTTGTACTTAAGTAGATCATTAGTTGGGGGCACTTTCCTCTTCTCCTTCAGTTCATTGATGGCGTATACGTCTAGACTAATGGTGTCGTCTACTCCTGATCCCTTTCCTTGTGATTTCAACTGAGCTGCTTTCTTCTCCACGTCATATTCCTCATGGTCTATGGACATTCCTTTCTCTTCCACCATAAGTTCTGTCAAATCCACCGGGAAGCCATATGTGTCATACAATAGCCAAGCAGCTTTGCCTGATAAAAAGAAATAATTCTACTAAAGAATCTTATTATTATCAAACTACTGTTCTAGCATATTGCAAAGTTATGCTTTTAAAAAGAAGTTTACATTAAAAATATGTATAAATTAATCAATTGTATACATATCATACCATAATAAGGCAAACTCATGATCACAAATTGGTTGTATAAACTACCTCAAAGGCCATGTGAACTAGCAACTGAACAATAAATTGTGGTCTTTTGTTTCAAATAGAGCTAAATCATTGTTTCCATGGAGAGACTAACAAGAATCAACCGTATACTAACCTGGAAATACTTTTGAGGAATCCCCTAATTTATTAATGGTACGTTCCAAAACTTTCCGACCTCTGTTTAGAGTCTTTAAGAACTGTGCTTCTTCATCGTTGATTATATCCATCACCATCTGTGGGTCTTTCCTGACCTCTGGAAATGCATCACCCTAAAATAATTTAAAGTAAGTCAGACATGCTTGTTATGTAATGGGAAGGGTTGTAGATTTAGAAAACTACGGGTGGGTGAGTGATAACATTAGTAAACTCTAAATAATAAGATTAGACTTTAGGATGGAAAAGTGGGCTAGTAAGTGTGGATGAAGGGCCATGAAATTAGCTTTAGACTAGGTGGAAATCTTGAAGGCTGTGTGGACCCGCCCACCATAACTACATCCCTGAATGGCATTTGCTTAAGGCTGTCTTCCATAAAATCACTACTATCTCCTTCAGCTGTCTGTAGGTCTGTAATGTGCATTTGATTAAATCTGCTAGCTGGGCTTTACAAGTTAGACACATTTTGCTGTTATCTAAATGAAAATATTCAACTAATTTTTTTTTTTGTAAGAATTTAAAATTTTTTATAAATTCCTACCAAGACTTGAACGACAACTGGGATAAGCGTTGCAAACTTCCCTGGAGCGCCACCAAGCTTCTCTGTGATGTACCTTACGCCTCGTCTTAGGATCCTCTTCAACACATAGCTGTCAATCACAATTAATTTGCAATATTTTATTAGTAAATTACAAAACAAACCTACATTTCTCCACATCTAAATACCATGACCAGATTCAATTATTAATCATTTTCCCTATATTTTATTATAATTATTTTTTTGGATAATAGATAAGATGGATTGAGGATTCTAAATGATCAACAGTATCTGTATACTTCATCCTCATTATAGATGTTTCAAATACTAGTAAATAATCAAGCTTCAAAAGTTACCACAAGGTATATTATTATAATTTAATTCAAATTATATAGAAATAAACCATTATAATATTGTGATGGTAGGTATATCAAGGTATGTATGTAACACAAAAATCAATTCCTACCCTCTTCCAACATTATCTGGTCTGCCACCGTCTGAAAAAGCAATGGTCAAGGTCCTCGCATGGTCAGCAATTACACGGTACGCCATGTCCACTCCATCCGTGTCCTCTTTTCCTACTTTGCCAGTATAAGCTCTGGCACCTGTAGCCTAGGATTAGAATTAAGGGAAAGTTAATTTTCTTTGACAAAAAACGGTTGTATGCCCATATATAGTCATGATGTGCCTATATATGGTTGTAATGTGATGTCATCATGACCATATTTAGAAATGTCACATGTCTTTGGGTAAATGGCAAAAGAAAAGAATGGATTCCTCCTGTGTACTTACATTCTGAATGGCATCAAAAATTGGGGTAAAAAGGTCGGTGTCATAGTTTGAGGTCTTGCCTTGGATCACTGATGCAATTCTTTCTAACCCCATCCCTGTGTCTACAGATTTTTCAGGTAGAGGCTTTAAGACAGTTGCACTCTCCCTGTGAAGAGAATGAAAGGAAAGAAGGTTGTGTAATGGTGTGGCAGGGCTGGTGCCAGCTATAAAAAAGGAAGATCATGGGTTCAACCACAAATATGTCAGGATTTTTCTCACAACTATAAACAACTACCAAAAACAATATCAAGTGTACAGGTCGTCTCCCTCTAATTAAAGACCACCTCCAATTAAAGACCACTTTTCAGTGGTCCCAAATTAACAAATTTCTTTTATTTCTATTATTCTAATTAGAGACCAAAGCTAATGACCATAAAAAAAACTCTGGTCCCAGAAGCGGTCTTTAATTCGAGGGAAAACTGTAAATGGCTTGTATCTTGTGAATGGGGCTACCACTGTATAGTAAATATATTCTGTATTAAAATTAAATACGACAAAGAATTTTGAATATTGTGGTTATGAAAATACAAAATTAAGTACCTGTTAAATTGGATGAACACAAGATTCCATAACTCAAGTACATCTGGGTCATCCAGGTTCACCAGGTGCTTCGCATCTCGTCCGCCAATGCGGTCATAATGAATCTCGGTACATGGTCCGCATGGCCCGGTGTCACCCATCTCCCAGAAATTGTCTTTCATTCCGAATGGGAGAACTCGGTCTTCAGAGATTCTATAATGAAATATTACATATTTCAATCATTAAGTATGATTAATAATATTAT